GCGGTCGTCAACTCTAAATATTTTGATAACGCAAACTTATCAGAAAGACACCACACGTATTTCCATTCAAACGTTTGGCGCATATTAAATTTTCAACATGTGCATCCTTTTTTCTTTTCCGAAGGACTTAGATAAACTGAAATTATTTCTATAATATTCCACTATTTCAAACATTTACCTGGTACCTGCTGGATCTCAAATTAATTATATCTAGCTATATTTTGTTATTTCGATTATTATTTATTTTTACGTGTGCAGTTTGGCACATAAGTTAAAATTGCAAAAATACGGTGCTGGAAGCTGAAACCTCTACATTACTGAGTTATTCTACTACCTCAAGGTTTCACTAATTCAACTTTAACCGCTTTAGGAGACCTTGAAGTTAGTTTAGACAATAAAAATAGAATATGTTTGAATAAATTACCGAAAACGATCTCGTTGTTAGAACCACCATTACCCGAGTCTTGCATATGTTGACCTTTATTCCTTACGTTTCTAAATTTAGGAAAAATATACACAAACACTGCCTCTTTTTTAGTTTCGTTGAAGACTTTAGCCTATAAACAGACGTATACGTGTCAACGAATCTGTGTGCAACTTTGTATGTATGCAATTCCAAGCATACAGAAAACAAATTTTAATCGATATTTAATCTTTATTTTAACAGTTCCAAGATAATGATGTGTTGCCGTTATGTATGAATATTGATTATAATGATGTCACAGTGTGATGAACATCTGTCATGTGTGTGTTACAGAAAAATGGCGTCAAGTAGGTTAACCCACACAATTAGTCCATAGACATTCTTTCGCTGCCCTACTGGTAGTCCATCTGGCAAGGTTGCCTTTCCCCGAAACCTGACAGCAGTAAGGCCAGAACATTTACCAAGACCGGCACGCTCGCCGGTGATCCCAGGCAGCAGAAACAGTGGCGCGTATGGAAAGCATTTCTGTTATTCTGTTTTAAAATGTACCCTCACCCACCCCTCTACATTTACGCACCAAGTTTTTTATACCCCTAAATTTGTATTCAAAAACGATCTGGATCCTCTGAAACGTCAAAAACCGATTATTGAGTGATTTTTATTCCTTTTCGTTTCTGGCCCATCTTTCCGCCGCCACTGGGCCGATTATCAAAAACTACAAAGTACTTGGCATAGTAGTGACACTATATAAACATCTAATCAAAAACCGACCGGTACTTTCCTAATTATAGTTGAGCCAATGATTAGCTTACATAGATTTTCGTGATGTACATGTCATATAGCATCCAAAAAACATTCTCATTTTCGACATTTTTCGCGATTACAATATACTTCGTCGCCAGTAGACATGGGAAGTAATTGACTAATATTATTGAATAATAGAACTTGAAGGATTCATAGTGTATATTATTAACTCACAAGTTTACATATCAGTGTAATCCTTGAAATAAGACAATTCTCATTTGGGATTCATGAAAAAACTTACTATTAAAATAGTAAATTCCATACCTTGTTTGAGCCTTCCTAAACGAGGTATGTAAATAATTTTTGTACTGCTAATTGTATACATCAATATTGAAAATATTCGATTTTACATCACTATCATAACCTTTCCAACTCATTTAACAAATACTTTAGGTATCTGTCAAACTGACAAACTTAAATTAATGAATGCATCAGGCAGCAGATTTAGTTTGGACTAGTCGTGGACATGTCTATCCAAGGGGAGTAATGTAGAAATGTTTTCTTTTTGTTAACATTCAAATCCGTTTTTAAAAATTGTCTGTTATTGGGGTATTTAAGAAGGAGAACTACATGAGAAGCTCACTCAAAATAACTTATTTTTCTCAGTCGCTCTAAAATATTACGAAATATAAAGTACATTTGTCAGACTGACACAATGGAGTTGCCATGATACAATTTTGAATAAGATTAATATTTACCTAGGCGATTTTCACCTCCTGCTCGTATGGTCGCATTGTAATCGCGATAATTCTCAAAAATGAGTTATTTTTTTGGCGGGTTCTAGAAATGAATGCGTGTTGTCGCTTATTATTCTTTTTTTTAATTTTAACCCAGCGTAAGAATAATAATTCCATTTCATCAAATTGCAAAAAATGCCGATCCTGTTGACAAACAAATAAATGCAGAAATAACTGACTGCTGTACTGCACAAAGCACAAACAGTCCTCGACTCGAGACACCAACAACAATTATTTCATACAAGTAAGCTGTGCCAGAAACAAGCAAGCAGCTGATTCACTGCATGGTGGACGACGGAGGTGCTAAGTTGGCCTTGCACTTGAACCAACAACTGAAAACGTAAAAAAAGAATTACTTGCGCGGCTGCTGTCAAGGCTGACTAGTCTGAGCAGGCGGCAGTGCTGATGTTTGTTTCTTGACCATCGTAAATGACGTTATGTTGCATCGAATGCATTGGCGTACTATTTTAATTTCTGCTTACGTTTTGGAAAGAGCCCATTGTGTATTGTTTTAATTTGTCTGGTTGTGTTTTTGAATACATGGTGGTATCGGCAGAGATTCTTTAATCATCTGGATTATAAGCAACCAAGAAGGCTGCAATATAAAATGTAGTTTTACTTCCCACGCCACTTGCGAGCATTTATTGTAATCGCGAACAATTTCGAAAATGTTGTATGACAAGTGCATCACGAAAACTACGTCACTGATTTCCGTCGGTCTGTCCGTTTATCCTTGGCCAGTCTATAATTTATGAAGTAGCGCGGGGATTTTGATGAAATTTTCATACGTTACTGATATGCCGAGGACAAAAAAGTTATAGTTTTTTGAAAATCGGTTCAGTGACACCCAAGCTTAGACCAAATAACGAGAAACAAATAAGTGTCGCTCAAACTCTCTGACATAACAGAAAAAAACGTTTAAGGGATTAAAAATTGAGAGTTGGGAGCTCTAAGGGTTGCGTAATATTTTTTGATGTTATTGTACGTATATTATTATAACTTCCGCATATATTTGCACTTAAAATATTTTCTACAGACGCGAAGAGGGTCGGTCGCGGTCGCACGGCAACGCTTCGGTTATGTATCTATGTGCACAAAGTGCAGTCTACGCCTGACCGCTCTCAGCTGGCGCATCCCTCACCAACTAGTCAGATTGGATCCTGTAATCCCAGTCGTTCGTGTTCAACGAGTAATCGAGTTTTTCGAGGAATGATGAACTTTCGTTTGAACAACACGTCACTAATATCAACAAGATATTCTTCTTTATATCAGGCGGTATTCAAAGGTTGCTGAATAAAAAAAATGAAACATTTTAATCTTGTTGGCCCGCCTATGTCTATGTGCAGTTTAATCGACATGCTATCTTTTTTGCTTCCATTAAAACTGTTACTCAGACTTTTTTTAGCAAACAATTGGCTCAGCAGCAGCGAGAGTGCTCATTCGTCTAAATCACCGTCTGGTTTTTGGTTTACGACCGGACATAAAACGATGTCTTCTTGCTCTTGTAGACAAGGATTAAAAACTTTATGATTCGTTCTTCTGTTAGAGTTGGACAAAAAGTGATGTATTGATGCTACTGTGTTTATGGCATTTTTCTGCTTAATGAAGGCCGATAATGCTATGGTGAATACTCGTATATTCCTAAATTTATCTATGTATGGTTGTGAATGTCTGCATAGACTGTCTGCATCACGTCTGAACCAGAGTATGGATAGACGTAAAAATTTGTACACTTACTAATTGATACGCAGGAAGGTTATGGGCATGATTTTATTCGCGAACTCGTCGTGGATTTTGCAATCAACTGTCGTGGCAAGTACCAATATCTTTACCATCCACATCAACCGGGCAACAGTGCGGCCTACCATCGCCCCACTCAGCCTGTGACCTTAAAGCGATACAGATGTTTTATTTTGCACTGGACTGTTGTGTGCTGTGCGACGTCATTCCCTTGAAATTGTTATTCGCATAAAACATTGTTTTTAAGTAATGTGATAAACTTCCGATCAGATTTTGTATCTTTAATGGTGTTAGTAGATTGACAGCCAACTTGCATGCTTGAAAATTTGGCTACTGTATGAGTGACACCAGCTACACATTCTGCCGGGAATTACGGGGCAGAAAATTAGTAACAAAAATTTTTTAAAACGTAAGTGTTCAAGTTCCGATCACCAAAGAGAGGTTTCATGACTTTTACGCGTATAGTCACGAGAGGCAAAGTGTGTAGGTCTCTGGTTGAAACGATTGTGATTTTTTGTTTATAATAGTCGCACATTTCAATTGAAACAGAAATAAGTATTATTTATTTAAGTGAACCTAGTAAAGTTTTGATTCCTTTTGTGTCTTTTTTATTTTGATTAGAAGCCGCAAACTAAAACGTAGTTAGTATAGAATTAATCAACTTGATGCCGTTTTTACTTAAGCATGTAACATGAAGTCTTGATATAGGAGGGTAAACACATAGAGTGGGCGTGAAGCCAAAAGTGTCGAGAATGAATACTATAGCTATTGCGTCTCTTATCTGCATCTGTCTCTTTCACGAGCATGTGTATAGAATTACATGCGCAGAAGCTGTACGCGCGTTACATTTTCTAGAGCTTCTTACCAGCAGTCAAGTCGTTATATACCCTATTTCACGAGTATCCATCACGGTAGAATGACCGCCGATTATCTAGTAGTATCTCAGAATTCCCCATATCGGCACAGGACACATAATTCTGACGGATCCGTCAATGCTAGGTAGACAGAGCCATACATATTTTGTTTTGATTTTTTTATGCTACAGATTCCTCTTCTACTTGCTAAAAGCTGTTTTATTTAGAAAAGTTCATTTGTATACAAAAAACAAAACGCTATAAACAAGTTTTACTACGTTTACTCCCGATTCATTATTGCCAACGTTGCACCTCAGTAGACGTCAAAGCGTAATGGATACTCATGAAATAGGGTACTCGAATACATGTCAGCTTAACCTCCTATATATAGTCTTCATGGCTTGTTATCTATAGTCTTTTTTATTCATTTTTCCGTTACAGGTGTCAATGATGACAGACACCACGGCAAGCTCGCCGACTGACGACACATCGGCAGCATGTGTTCCGCACATCAAGAAAGAGCTTGAGGCATTTGTAGACTGTTCGCCATCGAACAGCGATGTCTACTCTCCTACCACAACCGTAATGCCAGAACCTAGCATCATTTCACCATGCAGTAAGGTAATCCGCAAAGTTTAAGGAATAGTGGTGGGAAATATTTCACAAGCTGTGATTTAGTAACTGGTATTTCTAAATCACAAATCGCGACTGTTACCGAACGCCGTAAAAGAGCGTTACGTGATGTCGACATTGGCTTCACGGCAACGGCGAATGGCATCGGTCGAGAACCGTATACCACCGTAACACTTCTGTGGCCTGCAAGAAACATCGAGCTTTAAAGTCTTTGGACCACCCAGCTACTAAACCATCTTTTGAGCCTATAACGCTCCTGACATTGTAGCCGTTAATGTAACTCTTGAAACGTATCCTGTGGTTTTCAGGTCCAATGTCTGACCGATTCAAACCACATATATGTTTAAATTTCTGTTTATTGTACGACTAATCGGCTACCACGATAGCCTTGTTCAAGACAATGTCAGTAATGAAAATAATATTAAATATCGTAATTGTACTCGGAAAGGCACCGTGTTGGCCGAATCGTAAATAAACTGGAATTAAAACATGTATTATATGGTTTGATTCGGCCAGATAATAGAATCCTAGCGTTTCCCTTGTATCGTTTTTTAGCGAGTCAAACAACGACATGAGCCTTACAATAAGACTGGATGAACTTACTCCACAGTTGCGTGACGTAATCTAGGCGGTCCATGGTGGGTCGCTGGTGCCGGTAATCATACTGTGTGTCTCTAATCAAGCCGTGGCGTTGGCAGATGGTCGGTACTGTCGGTAGTGCAGGAAAAAAAAATTTGATTGCAAAGTTTTCAAATGAGTGGAAACTGTGTACTAATGTATAGGCCTCTTTGACTGATTTTATCCATTTACTTTTCTTGTTATATGTATTTATGACAGCGTTGCAACCTACATGCCGCCATTTTTTAATTTTGTGATTTTTTCAAGATTTGTCACTGAGCTATCACTTTTGTAAAGTTATTTGATTTTCGGACGGCGCACAGTGGGGCAGCAGACCTTAAAAGTTGGTATAGAAATAAAATATTGAGTTATTATACTTTTCTAAGTTTATTCTCGACTGTCCTCACAAAATATCTTATCTACCTTCTTTCTAAACCACACCCAAAAAGTAGTTGCTAGCTCATTGCGAGCCTACTCGCTGTGAGCGCTACCTATGGAGGAATGGCTCAACAACCATACTGCGTAATATGCTGCAACTCACATTTCGCCATCATGCTTTGTGAAAATAACGGAATCATCATCAACACAGATTATATTAGTACATCAATCATCACTGTGCTTTTTTGTGTTTATTTCCAGATATAGTATAAAACTTACCGCTTAGGTCATAGGAGTTATAAATAACCTCCAGTAGTGCCATCTGTATAGCAGATCTTACATCACATCAGATTCAAATAGCTCTCAAAAATCGTGACGTTTAGGCAACACGCATAGCTATTACAAGTGAACATGAAGCGAATGACAGCTAGTTCCAAGGAGTCATTTTTTCATGAAAACCTACATAATGCCATTAAAAATATATAACCCCACTTTTTACAAGTTTTCATTTAACTTGCCTGTTTGTTAGTGTGTGGGCCAAGTCTTGGAAATGAATTTTGAATCAGTTAACCATAACCAATTTCGCTGAAATTTTGTACACACGTTTGGTTTGCGTGACAATACAGAATGAATTAACTGCCGCCATTTTGAAGCCAATATGGGGGATGCTTCAAAATGGCGATTCATCATTTCCACTTTGATATGGGTATCAAATGAAAAGGCGTTATTAGAGAAACACAATAAGCAAAGTTTTCAAATTAGTGGAAACTGTGTACTAATGTATAGGCCTCTTTGACTGATTTTACCCATTTACTTTTCTTGTTATTTATGACAGCGTTGCAACCTACATGCCGCAATTTTTTAATTTCGTGATTTTTTCAACATCATCATCACTGAGCTGTCACTTTTATAAAGTTATTTAATTTTCGGACGGCGGTTGGAGAAAGGTGGTGAATAGCGAATAAACTATATATAAATATATAAAATAACTAAGTGTTTTCGAGCCGACTGCTACTTTGTCGTCTGCCATTTTGTCGAACGAAAAAATCTCGAACGGGTATTTTATTGCAAAATGCCATTTCGTAAATATCTTAAATCTAAAATTTGTAAAAGTCTAATAAAGCACAGAAATGTTTTAATCGGTGGACTTAGCTACAAAACAACAAAACCACATGCATATGTATAGAAAAATCTTAGAAAAACAAGACTGGTTGTCCAATAAGATTGTTCCGAAAAAAAAGTCGTTGCAGTGTTTCTGAGATGATTTTTGCCTTTTTTAGAACAACTTACTCGTCGTCCGATAATTCAATATGATATTTAGAAAAGCCGCTCAAAAATGAGAAGATATCAGAGTTGAAAAAAGTAATGACGAATCTGTAAACAGAATACTTTAACTTGTGCTGCCTTGTTCCGGCTTTGGCAGTACGTGCCGTAGACGGCACTTATGTGCAATCTACTTTCGTCCTTTTATTACTTTTATTATATTCTAAACACAGTGCTTTTTCAGATTGAATACGGCACTTTAAGTTACGAAAGAAAACTTAGCTCACCAGGCAGCCCTGAACGACAGTATTGCTCTTCAACAACACAACCTCACACAGACTCAGGATTGGGACATATAGAGGTACGTATAAAACATCGGTCGAAATGAAAAAATGCAATTAAAAAAAACACATTTATGGACGTCTTTTCGCAAAAGCTTTCTTTTTTGGCCATTTTCGTGAATCTAATGATATCTTTGTGTGAATATACGGTATTAGGGTTTTCAGTGCCAGCTAAGAAAAATAGCTCACTTTATTTTCATATTCATCATGTCACAAGACTATATGGTTACGTGATACATATAAAGTATAAATACTATTAGATAAATAAATGCATCTTAAATAACAAGTCTTCCGTTGCCTCGGTTTTGAAACAACAGAATCGTATAGATTGGGAGTTTACAGACTCTCAAGGTAACTAACCATTGTGTTTGGACACTGGACATTTTTTTGATAGCAGGACGCAGTCGTTGCTTTCATTGTTTATAATGTTTTTTACTGTAGAGAAATGACAACGACTAGACAGAAGAAAAAGAAGTAGAACAGAAAAAACAAGACAGTTTATTTCTACAAGTTATCGATTTGCTTGAGAATTTTTTGGCGTAACATTGAAATCCCAATTACCGTATATTCACCCGTTTATAGAAAATTATACTAAACCGGATATAACAAGTTAAACCAGCTTGACAAAGCGGATCTATGGAAAACAAAGTACCACTGTCTCCTGTAATAGTATGCAGAGCTTCTGTGTTACATAATTCAGAATCAGCAGAGTTTTATTGATATGGCCACCCACTTGACGTGCGGCCACAACGTTCTTGGAAAAAAAATTGAAGGGTACAACGTGCGCGAAATATATTCAGATAGGAATAATGCATTACTTGGTCTAGACCTATTTATCTATTTCTTTCAACGTTTAATTCGATACAGTTTCGTGGACATGATAGCTGTTTCAAATGGTAGGTTAGGAACGGAGCGTTTTAGTCCGGCAGTAATAGTAAAGTGTCCAAAACTAGACTCTCATTGTGTTGTCATTAAGAAAAGTACAATAAATTGCTGAAAGTATGTTTGAGATTTACTTTGTAATGTTGATCATCATTTACTTAAAATGTTCATTGAATTATAGTTGAAAATAAATATTAATAAAATGTAATTTCTTGAAACCTTATGTATCTCTGATTTGAAAAGATTTTATTATTATGTATTAAGCAAGGATAGAGAGTACTTATTTAAAAATGATACATCTTTTATTATTCCTGGGCGACAAGAATCGCAAACACGTCTACATGCACTTATTTTTCTTGTCCATGCTTTCTTCCATTCCATCTTCTTAAAATACATCAGCCTTAGTAACTTTAGGAAGAATTTGCTTTTATTGGTTTTTACCATTATCCTTTTCGAATTTGAAAAGGGAATTCAAAATAATAGTGGGCAGTAGGTTTAGGCAACGGAGAGGGTCTGGTTTGAACAATTAAAACCAAAAACTTGTTCATTGAATAAAGTTACAAATATCTAAATAAACAAATTTTATAGAAAAGTGTATTGGGTATAAATTTTCACTTCAAAATCTAGGAATTATAATGAAAATAGTAAAATACATGGTGGTGGACAGACAAGATACTATTTACTCTTCTCAATAATGAGCACCTTCCCCTATCATCAGTAGCGTGGAAATTCACAACATTATCTCTCGGCCAACGGACATCTTATTTAGGGCTCGTTGTTATAATATAATGAAAGGAGGGGAAGCTACTAGGCCACCTTTAGACATTTTTGTTCACCTTCCATAACAGTACTAAAGCTAACAACACACATAGCATTAAAACATTATCTTGAATTAGTAATACTTTTGAATGAAGATCACAATGTTCGACCAGTTTGCACCTATCACACACTGATATGTTGAGTATGTCATCTATAAAGCCTCTATGCATTACTTATTTTCCTCTTTCCAACAGGATGTTTTTCTATTCTTAAGAGACAGATGCCTGTGTAATTAGCAATGTCTTGTAAACATTCCAACCAAAATATTGAGCGACTCCCTGTTTTATAGCTATGAGAGTCAGACTGAGGGTATTTCTTCCAAAATGTCTTCTTTGAATACTTCATAAACTTCTTGGCCCAATCTAGTGAGTCATTATTAGAATAACACAGATCGTTTTTGATTTTAGGGAGAAATAAAAGAAGACGATTCACCTCGAAGATTATGTCTAGTTTGTGGGGATGTGGCATCTGGATTTCACTATGGTGTTGCTTCTTGTGAAGCTTGTAAAGCATTTTTCAAAAGAACGATTCAAGGTAATCATATGAATGGATTTGGAAAAATATGGTGATGGTTAATTTTATTTATTATCATGTATATACATCGGATTAACTAATGAATCAATTTATTTAATTATATTGATATGTTTTTAAATGAATATCTGCATGCACAGACTCCTTGACTAGTTATACTGTCCTGCGAACTGTTGATTGATCCTTTGTTGTTGAAGATTTATCTAGCATTAATGCTACAATGTCAATTTTGTATAATGATTCGGTTATATATTTTACTTCAATCCATTTTCTGTAATTTTACATTCTTGTCTTTAAAAATTAAAATTACGTCACTATGTATTTTGACTATTCATAAAGTGATTTTTTAATTTCACCTTAAACATCTTTAAATTCGAACTCTGTGTAATATCATTATTCAATTTATTAAATTCAAATACTCCCTTTTGAAATATAGATTTACTAGTTATGCTACTATTACAATTTTGCAGATGAAAATCTAAACTGCCTCTAGTTTCGTAGTTATGATAATGACTATTTAATTTTGTGAAGTTCTCTAAATGTGGTGGTAATAAATGATTTTTTAATTTGAATATGAAAACGAGAACTAAATAATATATGAAATTTTTCACATCCAACCACTGCAGTTCTTCTAACATAGACTTAATCCTAGCATATTTGTTTTTATTTAAACTGATTCTCATAGCTTTATTTTGTAGAATTTGTAATTTTTAAAATATGTTTTCATTTGCTGTAAACAACATGGTTGAACAATATAAAAAATGGGGCATTATAGTATTATACACAATTTTTTGGAATACGTCCTAAGATTATGGGAAACTCTATAGAAGTAATTTATCTTTTTCGATATGTTTGAAATAAGGTATTCATAATGTTCGTGAAACAGTAGCTTATTATCCAAATATTTAAATAACACGACGACTTCAATTTTTTCATCATTAATCATGAGCCTAATTGTATTGTCTAAATGTTTCCCTATTGTCATACATTTTGATATATTAGTGTTTAATTTAAGTTTATTGACATTTGTTCAATTCATAATTTTTTCAATATCACTATTTAAAAGTTCTAAAGCAGTGTCCAAATGATTATGTGCTATATACATATATGTGTGTGTGTGTGTGTGTGTGTATCGTCCGCAAATATTTGAATTTTGCAGTGTTCTAAAATGTCATATATATATATATATATATATATATATATATATAAATAGTAACAGTTGACATAATATTTCCAACTTTCGTTTTTTGACTTCTATTTACTAAATAATTTTGTAAAATGTGTAATACTGATCCTTTAAAGCCACAGTGACGCAATTTCATTCACAATTTTTCCCTATCTATAGTCTCAAATGCCCTTTTGAAGTCTAAAACTATTGTTACAATATATTCTTTCTCATCTATACTTCTCCAGTTTTCCACCACCATTTGGATTGCTGTTTCTGTGGAAGATTTTTTTCTAAATCCAGCTTGGTTTTTTATCAAAATTTTGATTTCTTCAATGAATTCTACGACATCGGGCAAGACAGTAATCGGTCGCATATTTGTATACAGCTGAGAATTTTGACCTTTAGGCACAGGAGTAATGGTGGAACACTTTAATTTTGATGGGAATTCACCATGTATTAAACAATGATTCACCAATAATACTAATTTCAATATAATTTTCCATCGTATACAGTTGGCGATGTATTATAATTTAACATATCTACTATTAAACATTAAATATAAATGAATAAATGTAAAATTTGAAATTGTCGATTATGCTTTGCAACATTTGTCGTCGTGAAGTGGACATTCTTTCATTAAACATGCTGCTTGCACTAAATAGCATGATCTTTGCCCGGATTCTGTTGATATTTTTATCCGTTCTTGAAGATGAAGGCCTTCCGCCTCGTGGTTCATCTTCATTTGACTCTCTCCCTTCTGAAAATGCCTTAAACCACCGACAAACCTGTGCTCTTAAGAAAACAATATCTCCGTAGGCCGGCTGAAGTTTAGCAAGACTTTCCGATGTGTCTGAAACACAAAAGAAATGTTTCACACAAAAAATCGATTCGGACAACCAAATGACTCGAGCGAGTTCAAATTTTTACCGAAGGCGGATGACATGTTCCCCTGACTCCCTTCCAAGCCCGGCGTCTCCAGTGTTGCCAGAACGAACGTTAAGTTGCCAGTCTCTTTACTTAATTTACAGACCTCGCAAACTTAAGAAAACAGTCTACAACAACAAAAACAGTTTATAATATTACCTACATGAATAAATAATAACAAATAATAATTATTGACGAATATATAAATGGTATTATAATATGTACAGTGACCAAAAACGTTACTCAGGCTAACCTACAAAAAAATGTTGCATTTTTTACAGCTTGCTATGCTTTCCATTTTCCGTCTTATTCATTCGATTTTTCAATAGAATATTACCAAATAGGGTCTTTTTTCTACCACCACTTCGGGACATTATCTTTTGAACATAAACTACGATTTAAAACAAGAAAGAATAGGAAATAGGAACATGCAGTTCACCTATGAACGTATAGGCCGACAATAAATTAAGAAATGATCTATCTCGGGTGAACCGCTCATTATAAAGAACGAGTTTTCTTGTTCCGACATGCGGAATATGCACTACATGTCTATACAAGTGTATTTGTATGTCACCGAAGAGATTTTCTTACTTTAAATCTAGACAACAAATATTTTTGGACAAATATAGAGAAAGAAAGACTGAATTATCTAAAATGCGTTTCGAAGATGGGGTAGTGACAGACAAATTAATTATAGCAGAAAGAATGAACACTTATTTTATAGAAAGTGTAAATCAAATAGTGAAGACGATTGATGACGGTGATCCAAACTTATGTCCATTACAAGTATGTCAGAATTCATCAATGAAACAATTTAGGACAATTAACATCAACAATCTAAGAAAAGCTACCTCAAAATTGAAATCTAGTAAAAATCCAAGAGAGAATCTCTCAAAAAATATTCTAAATGATTGTTTCAATATAATTGGAGAGAAATTATTATTATTCCCATCAAAATTAAAGTGTTCCACCATTACTCCTGTGCCAAAAGTTCAAAATTCTCAGCTTTATACAAATATGCGACCGATTAATGTCTAATAATATACGAACAAATCATAGGATTCATTGAACAAACCAAAATTTTGATTAAAAATCAAGCTGGATTTAGAAAAAATGTTCCACAGCAACGGCAATCTAAATAGTGGTGGAAGACTGGAGAAGGAGTATAGATGAGAAAGAATATATTGTAACAATATTTTTAGACTTCAAAAGGGCATTTGAGACTATAGATAGGGAAAAATTGTTAATGAAATTGCGTCACTATGGCTTTAAACGATCAGTATTACACATTTTACAAAACTATTTAGTAAATAGAAGTCAAAAAACTAAAGTTGGAAATATTATTTCAAGTGTTCAACAAAATATGTCTTTAGGGGTGCTATAGGGGAGTAAATTAGGGCCGTTACTATTTATTATTTATATAAATTATATCTCTGAAAAAATTATGAATTGGTTAAATGTCAATAGGGAAACATTTAGGTGACAATACAATTAGGCTCATGATTAATGATGAAAAAATTGTGTAGTAGTCGAGTCATTTAAATAGCTTGGTATATACAGGGTGTACCAGAAGTCGACGTCAAGCTGAAACCGGGTGATAGGTTAGTCATAACAGCTACCAGAAAAATATTTTAAAAAATTGTATGTATGTGTTTTGAAAATTATAGGTCTTTGAAAAAGATATAGAAATTTCACACCCTACGGCAGTCTGTCAACTCCTGTTACTACAAATATTAACTTTTTTTGGATTTTATTTTTACAATCTAATGATGAATAATGCATCTTCAAACTGGTGTCTCAACCTTACTGCCAACTTTTCTCGTTCAGGAAAAATTGCCACTTATTTCCCAACCAAGTATTCCAAAGTAAAACTTTGCTCAACTTTAACTGGCTGTACTGGAAAAAATGTACTACGAGAGTTTGGCAAGTAACCTTAAAAGTTGGCGCATTTAATAAGGATTCCAAAATGGTATAACACTTAGAAGATTACTCGTTAACTTATGCACAATTTTTATTTGAAAAAAAACTGATGAAAATTTTTCAAAATTTCCTAATTAAACAGCGATTATGAAAACGCACAAGGACCCTTAAGGATAACTGTTTGCACAACAGTGGGCGTCAAAATGCTGCTGATGATGATTTACCTTTACAGCAAATGCTTAAACTGTTTTCCTTCAGCCGCAATACACGCTCGACATCTTCTTAAAAAAGATCCTGTTATTAAACGAGCGAATCCACGGTTATTAACAAACTCAGCTGCTTCCAATAGTCTTTGCCGTAGCTCAGCTACATTTTGAATCGGCTTGAAATACACTTTTTCTTTTACAGCTCCCCAGTAAAAAAAATCTAACGGATTCAAATCTGGTGACCGGGCTGGCCACGGTATTGTACCAGACCGCCCTATCCATCTGCCTGGAAAGTTTCTCAAACGGACCGATTATTTTACCATTTAAAATTCCTGTCCAATGGTTTATCTTGAAGCGATATTGAGATTTATCTTCTCTCATCAAATGTGGGTTTGCTACGTGCCACTCGTGTAAGTTATGCAGGTTCATGTACCCATCTTTCTTAAATGTGGTCTCATCCGACCATAAAATTTTTTCAAAGAACTGTGGATCTTTCCTGTGTCTTTCTAACATTGTGCGACAAAAAGCAACACGGGGCTCATAATCCCGGGGCAGGAGAGGTTGAACACGCTGTATAGATGAAGCACATCACTTACTTGCTATTGCACACTTTGATACCGATCAGTACACCTTCGTTTACTGTGCATCTTTACATGTTCGTGCTTGTTGATTTCGTACTGTTACTAATTTTGGATTCGTGAACTGGACTGTTGATTGCTTGTGATTAGGATTTGGACTGTTTAATAGCTCTTCAAAACAACATTTGCTTTCCTTAGACTATCTTTGATAGTGTGATTGTGCAGTGCCGCTATGTCCGTGTACACCGTACAAGGATATGCTAACATGCACCTCATTTATGGGGAATGCAGATGCAACGCTAGTGCTGCAGCGAGACTTTACTGTGAGAGGTACCCGAATGCAGCTAGTCATCCAGATCATCGAGTGTTCACAAATGTGCACCGCTTACTGTTCTCAGAGGGCCAACTACCAAACCAATCACACGGTGAGGGAAGATCTTTCCTTCATTACGGAGACGTGATGCTAGGAGCTGTCGAAGAAGACCCGAGTACTTCAGTGCGTGCAATAGAACTAAAAACAGGTGTGTCCAAAACTACAGCCCATAGAATCTTGCAAAAAAACGTGCTCCATCCATACCACGTACAGCCTGTTCAACCTCTCCTGCCCCGGGATTATGAGCCCCGTGTTGCTTTTTGTCGCACAATGTTAGAAAGACACAGGAAAGATCCACAGTTCTTTGAAAAAATTTTATGGTCGGATGAGACCACATTTAAGAAAGATGGGTACATGAACCTGCATAACTTACACGAGTGGCACGTAGCAAACCCACATTTGATGAGAGAAGATAAATCTCAATATCGCTTCAAGATAAACCATTGGACAGGAATTTTAAATGGTAAAATAATCGGTCCGTTTGAGAAACTTTCCAGGCAGATGGATAGGGCGGTCTGGTACAATACCGTGGCCAGCCCGGTCACCAGATTTGAATCCGTTAGATTTTTTTTACTGGGGAGCTGTAAAAGAAAAAGTGTATTTCAAGCCGATTCAAAATGTAGCTGAGCTACGGCAAAGACTATTGGAAGCAGCTGAGTTTGTTAATAACCGTGGATTCGCTCGTTTAATAACCCGATCTTTTTTAAGAAGATGTCGAGCGTGTATTGCGGCTGAAGGAAAACAGTTTGAGCATTTGCTGTACCTTTACCTTTACCTTTAAATCATCATCAGCAGCATTTTGACGCCCACTGTTGTGCAAACAGTTATCCTTAAGGGTCCCTGTGCGTTTTCATAATCGCTGTTTGATTAGGAAATTTTGAAAAATTTTCATCAGTTTTTTTTCAAATAAAAATTGTGCATAAGTTAACGAGTAATCTTCTAAGTGTTATACCATTTTGGAATCCTTATTAAATGCGCCAACTTTTAAGGTTACTTGCCAAACTCTCGTAGTACATTTTTTTCCAGTACAGCCAGTTAAAGTTGAGCAAAGTTTTACTTTGGAATACTTGGTTGGGAAATAAGTGGCATTTTTTCCTGAACCAGAAAAGTTGGCAGTAAGGTTGAGACACCAGTTTGAAGATGCATTATTCATCATTACATTGTAAAAATAAAATCCACAAAAAGTTAATATTTGTAGTAACAGGAGTTGACAGTCTGCCGTAGGGTGTGAAATTTCTATATTTTTTTCAAAGACCTATAATTTTCAAAACACATACATAACATTTTTTTAAATATTTTTCTGATAGCTGTTATGACTTCGCCTATCACCCGGGTTCGGCTTGACGTCGACTTCTGGAACACCCTGTATGTGGATAGTAAGCTACTGTTTCACGAACATTATGAATACATTATTTTAAAATATCTAAAAGATAAATTACTTTTATAGTTTCCCATAATCTTAGTATGCCAAAAAAATTGTGTATAACACTATAAATCTTCCCCATTTTTTATATTGTTCAACCATCTTATTTAAAGCAAATGAAAACATATTTTCAAAATTACAAATTCTACAAAATAAAGCTATGAGAATCATTTTAAATAAAAACAAATATGCTAGAGGCAGTATAGAGTTTCATCTGCAAAATTGTAATAGTAGCAAAACTAGTAAATCTATATTTAAGAAGAGAGTATTTGAATTTAATAAATTGAATAATGATATTAAATAGAGATCGAATTTAAAAATATTTAAGGTGAAATTAAAAAATGACTCTATGAATAAAAAATTACAGAAAATGGATTGCAGAAAAATATGTAACCGAATCATGATACAAAATTGACATTGTAGCATTAATGCTAAATAAATCTTCAACAACAACAACAAAAAAATAAAGAGAAATAAGGAAAATATGTTATTTGAAAGTTCATTATTGCCGTATTTAAGAAAACATTTGAACAAATTGACAAAAATCAAAAAATCACGATTTAATCGGAAAATTCATATTTAAAAAAAAATCCCTAATTTTTGCAACACTGGCAGAATCGACAGTCTCTAGCGGTCACAGTGGTAACTGGGCAATCAAACTGAGATCTTTACAGTTCCAGCTGTTATACACTCTCGCAGTGCTCGATTCTGTTAATAGATGGCGCTTTGTGCTGTCTTATCTTGATGGTTCTCCATTATTTTTTTGTCAAAGATGTTCAATGGTTTCCAACCCAATTTAAGACGCTACTGCCGCGCTGGGTTTGGTATCAAGTTTTTGTATGGTCTAAAAACATTTTTTCATTTAATTATATTTTTTAGGTAACATCGAATATACTTGTCCAGCATCGGGTGAATGCGAAATCAACAAACGAAGACGAAAGGCCTGTCAGGCGTGTCGATTTCGAAAGTGTCTCAGATCGGGAATGCTGAAAGAGGGTGTTAGGCTTGACAGGGTAAGAGGTGGCAGGCAGAAGTACAGGAGAAATCCAGAAAGTCCATATCAAGTTCAAGTAGTCAACGCGCAGAGACCTATGCTGATGTTAGAAGGTAAGAAAAACAGTTTTTTAATGAGGTATTTTCTGCCAAATAAAAATGCATTCATAGGTTTGTTCGTACAGTGGTCGGTGACTTGTCAGTCACTGTAACAGCTGTCATTGATGTCTGAAAAATATTTCTTCACTGGCCAAATCTATCATTTTGGTGATAAATTTTAGATGATTTGGACTATTGTGCCAAGGGTAACTAAAGTAGTGCCAAGTAAGTGTATGCTTACTCGATTTTGACGCGCTTCGAGATTTTTTAGAGCGGACTAGACTAATCTAGGCAACCATTATTGTAATGATCTAATTAGAATTGACAGTGTTCGTAGCATACTGCTTGATCTTTAGATTTTTTTTCACAACCTGTAAATTAATGGAGGATTTTTCAAACTAATGAGCACAGTGAACTTAAAAAGAAGTTTCCAAAAAGGAGAAGAAAATAATTCGCTTAGTACACGTAAAGAAGTAGCACCAAATATGACATTATTAAGATTTCATTTATTTGCCTAGCTGTTATATAAATGCTTTACTTTTGTTTGTTTCCCACTATTTTATGCTCCTTGTAATCTTAATTCAAGAGCTGCTTTTTAAAATATGGAAGTTATCTGTTTGTTTTATTTTCAACTATTCAACTTGGTAATAGTAATATTTATTTGTCTCCAAAATACACAACCATTACACATAAAATTTTAGAGAAGATAAATAAATAAAAAGCTCGTAGAAGGGCCCTTGTGCGCGGTTAAAAAAATAGAAAATACTTATACAGGGTGTCCCGAAAAAAGTGTGCAATATTCTACCAGCGGTTTCTAGAGCTTAAAATAGGAAGAAATGTTTATATAAACATAGGTCGACAAACGTTCCCTAAGGGCGCTACGGTCTTTTAAAGGGGCTCCCCTGATGATGGTTTTTCCTTAATATTTCCGAAACGTGTTGAGATAAAGACATCAAATTTGGTACTCTAGCCTAGTTTTTTATGCTGGATTTAAAAATATTAACAATTTTAGACATCTTTGTTTGGAAGCGTATGTAACAGGGACGGACAGGTTATTTTAGCCGCAAAATTTTTGTGTGATTCTATTTTTGAAATTCAATCTTAGAATTTGGAAATTTAGGGTTTTCTACATAAAAAAGGTACTCTTATTGAATATCGATAAATTGTGCCATTTTTGAATAAAATCAAACTAAAAAAATTATCACATGATAGGAAATGTACTGCGAATTTAAATGAACTGTTGATTATACATACAGGTAGTTAGCCATGACTGCAAACAAAAGTTGTTTTGATTTGTTATGACTTATTTTGACGTTAAGCTGGCATTGTTAGCAGTGTAAAATTACTCGATTAAAATCAAATTTTTTATTAAATCGATTTAAAATGCCAAGATTTACAGACAGAGAACTGACAGACATGCATTTTGTGTGCGGGTTTTGCAATGGCAATTCATTGGCAGCCGTAAGAGAATATCAAAGATTTTCCAATCGCATAGTACCTGGATGTCGAATGTTTACTGATATTCACCGGAATTTGTCAAACTATGGAAGTTTTCAGCGCATGCAGGGCTCAGGAAGGCCACTGAGAAATCATCGTATGGATATTGCTTTAAATATATTTGAAAATAATCCGCAAATAAGCATACGAAACGTTTCAGAAAATATGGATATACCTCGATCAATAGTAAGAAAAATTTATGAATACCTATTTGATAGTTATCCTAAAAATAATAATGTTAGATAGGAAGAATGACAAGAATGCAAGGATTACAGCCTCATCATTTTAAACGGGTGCAGCATTTAACGGAGGCAGATTTTTTACCACGAGTTTTGCCAGTGGATATTAGCAAATGAAAACACTATTCCTAGAATATTATGGTCGGATGAGTCAATATTTACTAGGAATGTTGCTTTTAATCTCCATAACAAGCATCACTGGTCAGATAAAAATCCAAAAGTTGTTCACCGTACAAATTTCCAACATAGATTTTCATTGAACTTATGGGCAGGAGTAATTGGGGATCAAATAATTGGGCCTATTGTAAAGGGTTGTCCAATAGGGACGCAGGAAAGTAAACGTCAATTTGACATAGACGCCGTCTTTGTTTTCTGTCACCGACATGTCATTTTGTTAGTTGAATGTTTACCATTGACCGCTATGGAGTCGTGTTCGATTGAAGACCGCATTAAAGTTATTCAAGAGCACTACAAAAATGGTGCAAAAACAAAAAACACGTTTCACGCGCTTCGTGAACATTTCGGTCGCAACAACCGCCCAAAACGGTCGTCTGGTGCGTAAATTCGAGGCAACAGGTTCTGTGGCAAATCTGCCAGGCTCTGGCCGGCCAAGGAGCGTTCGCACACCGGAAAGTATTGCTATTGTGAAGGAGAGTGTGAGAGACGATCCGAAACAATCAACAACGCGTCGCTCCCAAGAATTGGGCATTCCGTATTCTCCACAAGGATTTGAATGTATGTACACGCCTACAAGATCCAATTGACGCAAGCGCTGCGTCGGGCCGACCATTTTTCGCGCCGAACGTTCTCAGATTGGCTCCTTGAACACCGCCAAATTGATGCCAATTTTTCATCAAAAATCATGTTCAGCGACGAAGCGCATTTCACTTTGAATGGGACGGTAAACAAGCAAAACTGCCGCATCTGGGCGAACGAAAATCCCCGTGAGTATCAAGAGCAGCCGATGCATCCTCGAAAAGTGACTGTGTGGTGTGCATTGTGGTCAAAAGGCATCATCGGACCTTACTTTTTCGAAAATGCGGCCGGGGACGCCGTTACCGTCAATTCTGAGCGATATCACGTAATAATAGAGGACTATTTTTTGCCGCAACTTGAAGGAATGGATATGGACGATGTTTATTTCCAACAAGACGGTGCAACATGCCACACAACCAACGTCAATATCCATCGATTGCAGTCCTTCGGTGATCGCGTGATTTCGCGCAGAGGAAATGTGCCATGGCCACCAAGATCGTGCGATTTGACTCCCTTGGACTTCTTTTTATGGGGATATTTGAAAAGCAAAGTCTACGTCAACAAACCAACCACCCTCCAAGAACTCAAAAACAACATCATTGCCGAGATAAATGCCATAGAACCGACCATGTTGCAAAATGTCATTGAAAATTTCGACCATCGCGTGGACGTCTGTAAATCCAGTCGTGGTGAACATTTGAGCGATATTATTTTTCATACATAAATGGTATAAATGAACCTTCAAAATAAAGTACCCAACTTGATTTCAATATCAATCTTTTGTTTTAATATGCGTTTACTTTCCTGCGTCCGTTTTGGACAACCCCATACTTCACAATCGTCTAAATTCAGAGGTGTATCTGAACTTTCTTCAGAATGAGCTCATGGATATAATACCATTGGATGTGCGCCAGCAGTTTCAAGAAAATATGTTTTTTCAACATGATGGCGCCCCTGCACATTTTGGACGCAGTGTTCGAAATTGGTTGAATGTCAATTTTCCAGACAGGTGGTTAGGCCGAGGAGGTCCTATAGCGTGACCGCCACGTTCACCTGTCCTAAATCCATTGGATTTCTATTTTTGGGGGTCTTTAAAAGACCCAGTTTACTCGACTGAAGTAAATACTCAAGAAGATTTACTTCAAAGAATCCATCAGGCTGCAAATGAAATAAGAAGAAAAATGTTTTCCACTTTTCGGGCTACGCAATCATTAGTTCATCGAGCGAGACTCTGTATCCAACAAAATGGGAATTTATTTGAACACTTATTGTAAAGCTAGTTTTAAGTATATCCAACTGTATGTCTTCTTTTTTAAACAAATTTCAATTTCGTTCGTAGAAAAAAAATATTTCTTTTGTTTTTGCCTAAATTTTAGCTATGTTGTAAAAGAAATATGTATTTATGTAATATTTACCAATTATTAAATTAGTTTTTTCGTTGCCATGGCTAATTATTCAACAATACAGGGTGTCCGCAAAGTTGGGGTTTTGCTTTACACGACGTGTAGATCTTGAAAACATAAGCAATTTTTCTTAGTACCATATACACCAATGTCTTAAGGGAACCGAGATAAAGGGCTCTGCAACATCAAAAATATCTGAATACCGTCCTGTAGCCGCGACCCCGGACATCACAGATTGGTACAAGGTCTCAACCCGACGGCAGAACTGGGTCGGGGTCAGTGTGTCAGGTCAGTATGCAACCTTCAACCGATGGTTACGGTCACGCATGTAGAGGTAATCGCGTAGACGAGAATCTCTAGAGACGTGGCTAGAGAAGTGCAAGTATCAAAAACTAAAGTGTGGCAAACGCTGCGTGAAGAGAGACTGTATCCGTTTCACGTCCAACGTGTACAAGCCCTTCAACCTGACGATTTTCCAGCAAGAGTGCGGTTTTGTGAGTGGTTGTTGCATCAACATGACAATAATCCGGACTTTTTGAAGTGCATATTGGTGACGAATCTACGTTCACGCGTAATGGGGTGAATAACTTTCGCAACACTCATGTTTGGTCAGCAGAAAATCCGCACGCAATTACGTAACATTTTGCCTTCCTTGTTAGAAGATGTGCCATTAAGTGTAAGACAATCAATGCGGTTTCTGCGTCTGCTCGGTAGCGCTTCAGCTGATTTCATTTTCTGTTGGTGGTTGGAGCGGTATGATTTCGGGCAGAGACGTACTTAGCCCTTCTCGTCAACTGTAGAGTGAGTACTTTTTCCTTTATTTTTGTTTTTACTTGGTCGCCCTCGTTCCACTACACATTACCTTTGTTATTTCAAGGGTAGTTGTTTCTGAAAAGGAAACAACTTTGCGGACACCCTGTATATTTATCATTTCCTATCATGTGACAAATTTTTTAGTTTGATTTTATTCAAAAATGGCACAATTTATCGATATTCAATAAGAGTACCTTTTTTATGTAGAAAACCCAACACATTTCGGAGATATTAAGGAAAAACCATCCTCAGGGGAGCTCCTTTAAAAGATCGTAGCGCCCTTAGGGGACGTTTGTCGACCTATGTTTATCTAAACTTTTCTTCCTATTTTAAGCTCTAGAAACCGCTGGTAGAATATTGCACACTTTTTTCGGGACACCCTGTATAATAACGATGACGTAACACAATAAAATGTTTTTTTTATTCTAATTAAGATATAAATAATGATTGTCTAGTATATTTACTAATGGCATCTACTCTTCGTTGAATTTGTTTTCAATTCATACTCATTGATTATTATGAAAAAGCGTCAATTAATTTACAGATTTTGAACAAAATGCAGTTTTGGGTATCCTCTGATCTCCAAAGATTTTTTAAATTCACTGATAAATCCTCAAATAATTTACCAATGGAGAAGTTTCGTGATATTCAGAATCGCATAAGTAATGACATACCATCAAAATATAGACTAAATATAATCAGCCGGTGAAAACATTATTGAAAACGGCCAATAAATGACAGAGAAATTGATACTTAAATTTGGCGCATTATAGCGCGAAATCATAGCTGCCGTTCGTTCGCGTCTGACGTCACACTTCTCTAGTGCCCAGCGTCTCGTCGCTTAGGTGTTCGACAGGGTCTGTGCGTTTAGTTATTAGTCTATAGACAATTCATCAGGCACACCTGTGCGCTCGGACACGTGGTTTCCAGTTGATAACTATTGAGTACTGCGTAAGTTCATACCATTATGGACGTCGCATGTGAAGGTACGTAGAAAAAATGTTTATTAGGGGTTGTAATTGTTGTTTTCGTATATTTTGGAACGGTACAGTATTTATAACAACCTTTTTTCCTTATGTCGCTCATATCCGATCGTACATGCAGTCAACTAATTAAACGAATTGGGGCGGAAGACGCTTAGCCTACCCTGTGTCCCGCTGTGTGTGTGCCTATGCATGTATTTAGGAGATTGAGTCGGCTAGGGCCCAGGAATCGGCCGCGGGCATTGCAACTGGATACTGAAGTCTGAAGTGTAACGTCACACGTAACGTACAGACGGAATAAAAATATTCTCGCGGGGCGCAACTTTGATGGGCGGTAACTTCTTTGTTTTTAGAAATAAATTAATAATTTTTTCACCATCTTGTTTCGTTTTTCCTAAACCTTCATTTGAGCTAATAACAAAAAAATTTTAATTGTGAGAAAAATATTCCAAAAATTTCAAGCTGTAGAGTATGCTCAAACTGTCAAACGCAATTAGACTATTGCAGTACAGGTAGCATAGCATTGCTTAACAACGTTTAGCACAAAAAACATGCAGTCCAGGATTTGCCATCAAAATGGTGAATATATAGAGCCAGCAAAGAAAAACCTTAGCAAAATATCTTGAAAATTATAAATTCTATAAAATAAAGCTACGAGAAATCATTTTAAATAAAAAAATATGCTAAGATTTAGCCTTTGTTAGTAGAAATACAGTGGTTGCATGTGAAAATTTAAGCTTTTAAATCCGGTGACCTTGGTGGCCAGTTGAGATCACCAAATCGAGAAGTTAAACGTCCCGGAAATATTGTTCGCAAAAGATTCATTGTTCCCTAGCTGTGTGACAAATTGCTCCGTCCTGCTGGAACCACATGCTTTGCAAGTTAAATTGTTGGATTTTAGGAGCCATTTACAAACCTTATTAACAAATCCGTTCATATCGAAATGGATCTTCATCGCTCATTATCGGTTGTTGGTAAATATCGTTATTTTGGTCATTAAGCTGCAATATTGCATGACTGTATTGTCGGCGACTTTCATAGTCACTAGGCTGTAGTTCTTGGATTAAATGAATTTTGTATGGCCGGAGATGCAAGTCTTTTTTTAAAATAGTGCATAGTGACGTGCGACGAATACCCAGTTCTTGAGAACGATGTCTGGTAGACGTCTCAGGGCGCTCCACTACACTTTCACGAACTCTATCGATATTTTCCGAAGTACCAACAGTTCAAACACGGCCTGACCCTGGCAAGTCTTAAACTTCACCTGTTTGTTCAAATTTCCGCCCCAACTGACGAATCCTGTTGACACTGGGCACATTATTTCGACCGAAAACTTGTCGTAGCTTCCGAATCGTTGCAACAATCGACTCATTATTCAAGTAAAACGTTTTAACCATACGGACGCGTTGTGGGATCGCATAGCGCTTCATGATGAATTGGACACTTCAGCTTCAAACAACTACTACGACGCCACCTACTGAAATGCGTGTTTAAAAAATGGCGCGCAATTTAAATCAGTCAGTTATATATTGGCCACCCTGTACAAAATTGACGTTGTAGCATTAATGCTAAATAAATCTTCAAAAGACAAACAAAATTGATGCCAGCCTGGGATGACAACTTCTTACTGCATACTGTGAAATGCAAATGTTAAATCCTCCTTTGAACGTTCCTCAAGAGAGCGTTATTATTTGTTCAAAAACCATAGAAAGATTTCTTGAACGTGAGTCGATTATCAAGGAACGTTTATAAATGCGGCCCTTAGATTATCTGTATTTCTCCCGGGAGAAATCAGCGGATAGAATTTATGCTTGATACCAATAGAACGAATTTCATGTTAGGCTACCTGATTGAAGAATACAGGTTATTTTACCTGCTAGTAGGAGTAGGAAACTTTTTAGCTTTGACGCTAAATTTTCCGATTGAACTTTGGATATGTTTCCTCGTTCATAGATAAAAGTGAAAATGGGAAAACTAAGTATATACGTGTTGAAGGCAAGATTTTAATATGTATTCCTGTTTTTTTTTTTTGTTAGAATGAACATTTTGTCCCATTGGGACGCAAGCAATGTTACTCAGTACCTCTTCCTCATGTGAATTTGTAGATGATATCCTTTAAAGTCAAAATAGAGATTATTATGAGTTCCACCTTTACCAATATTTTCGCACACTTGACATTAGACCTGACTACTGAGGTGTTAAAAATGTTTTCATTATTTTCAGATATAAAAATGTTGGAAGCATTGGCAAGCTGCGAACCTGACTGTTTAGATACAAACGCGGCACTAGATACCTCATCAAAGCACAAGACGTTATCTATTCTGAGCGACCTTTATGATAGGGAACTAGTTGGTATTATAGGATGGGCGAAGCAGATTCCTGGATTCACAGATCTGTCTCTCAATGATCAGGTAAACACCATAAGTACTGACTTTGATCATCATACTCCATCAGAAGATACTCAATACAACGAAGTAAGCGCACACAAAAAAATAACAAAAAAACTCCTGTAAATATCAGGGTGACCCAGAAGTCGACCTCAAGCCGGAAATGGGTGATAGTCCAAGTCATAATAATCAGAAAGATATAAAAAGACGTATACTTTTCATATTATAGGCTTGAAAAAAATCGAAAAGTTCCCACTACTACATATTTCAATTCTTTGTTGGGCGGAGTGAAGGACAGTGTCATTCTACGTAGTGACAGCAATACAGATAGTAAAGCCACTTTTATTAATTCATGATTGTGTAGTGCCAACATGTCTGTATACACCGTACAGGAATACCCCTCATTTATGGGAAATGTAGATGCAACGCTTGTGCTGCAGCTAAGCTCTATCGTGAGAGATACCCAAATCCTGCTTGTCATCCCGATCACCGAGTTTTTGTGAATGTGCGCCGTTTACTCTCAGAGGGACGATTCCCAGAAAACGTCGTACTAAAAGCAGTCGAAGAAGACCTGAGTTCTTCAAATAGAAGCAAGCACGGGAATGCACAAAAGTACAGCCCACCGAATCTTGCGAAAGAACGAGCTCCACCCGTACCACGTACAGCAAGTACAATCTCTACAACCCTGGGATTAGAGTTGAGTTTTGTCAAACAATGTTACAGAGACACTGGGAAGATCCGCGATTCTTAGAGAAATGTTTATGGACTGAGTACTCGACATTTAAAAAAGATATTTATATGAATCTACACAACTTACACGAGTCACATGTAGAAAATCAACATTTGATGAGACAAGATAGATGACAGTATTAATGTCGTTTTATAGTAAACATGTGGACCGGGATTCGAAATGGCAGAATCAGCAGGACGGCTGCCCGGCGCACCATGTCCGTTCATTTAGAGAATATCTTGATCCGGAAACCCGAGCAGTCGGATAGGGCGGTCTGGTACAATTTCGTGGCCTGACCGTACCCCAGACTTAAATCCACTCGATTTTTTTTACTTTGGAGCAGTGAAAGAAAAAAATTAGCCAAAGTCAACCGAAAATTCAGCTGAGCGACGGAACAGAATAAGCAGCTGAATTTATGTTATTAATAACGGAATATTCGCCCGTCTGATAACCCGATCATTTATTGTGAATTTAATGAAGACATCCACGATTTAATAAAAGTGACGTTACTATCTGTTTTGCTGTCATTACATAGATTAACACTGCCTGTCACTCCGTCCAATGAAAAATTGAAGTTTGTAGTAATGGGAACTAAAATACCATAACAGGGAGTAGATTTTTCCGATTTACGATAACGATAACTATTGTGACGTGGCCTATCCCCCGTTTCCGGCTTGAGGTCGACTTCTCGGATCCCTGTATAGGTCCTGAAATGCCTCTTTAACAAGATACAGGGTGTTGTCAATTTCTACGCCACTGATGAGACTGAATAAGGACAAAACATGAATATGGTTCAAATAACGCTATGGAGGGATAGAATTATTCTCCTAATACACTTTGTGCAATTTTCAATGTTTAAGTTCACTAACTTCAGCATATTTTCCAAGTATTTTACCTCAAATATTCGTACCAGATTTAATCCAAAAGGACTAGTGTGAATTTCCTTTGTGTATGTGTTTTCCCTACCCTTCATGGTGTCTTTTTATATTATTTAATTCATACATCTCTACATGTGTATGTCATATCTATGTTTTTGTTGATTTATATTTCATCTGTTCTTATCTATGATTTTAATTGTGTAATTGTAGCGTATTTATACATATTCATCTTTTCCCTTTGACTAATACAATATAATTTGGTAAGCTTTCTGAAGGAAAAATAAACATATTTGATATTTGAAAAATGAAATAGATTTTAAAAAAAAAAATCACTGACAGAGAAATTAATTTTTTTTTCTTCTGCAGGTGTAAAAACTTCCCAATTTCTACGCCGTTTTTGTAGCCACGAAAATATTTTTGTACATTTTGACTATGCTGTTAGTACCACTTGTACAAAATTTTATGTCAATAGGTATATTTTTTTCTTCAGTTTTGAAATGAAGACTTTATAACGATTTTTCGTGTTATTTTTGCACTTGAGTTTGTAATACTGTTGAATTAAATGTTTTAGAACAACCGAACTTTATTGTGTCAGGTAGAGACACAAGAACAAAAAATAAAAAGTATACATAAGCAATGGCACTGAACAGCCAGGTATTGAGCAACACAGAAGTAATTAAACATTAAATACATAACTTTCTACACTATATTGCCAAGATTTTCCACCACTGTCTTTACGCGCCAGCGTTGCCACGTCTCTGAATATTTCCGCAGGTTATGGAATTTTCTTTCCGTCTATTCTGAGTAAGGGCACGTGAGTAGCCCACCGAGTCAGAGAAATACATCGGCTGGACGGATTCGTATCCCGCCCTCGGAAATAACATTCCAAGCTATGGATGTAGTGGTGATGGTCATATGGATTGTCAGCCTCGTTTGAGTGCATTTTATATCGATTGTGTCAATTAAAAATCAAGCCAGACTACCCAGGACACTTCATTTGACCTGGTCAATTGTGCGAGAAGTGCAGAGACCAATAAAATAGAGTTTGAAGGGTAATTTTTCCTTGGAAAGTTGATGTCATGTTTGAAAATAAAAAATTTTTGAGGAAAATTGAGTCTGTTTATATCTTAATTTTTTAGATGCGATTGCTCCAAAGTACTTGGGCGGAAATCCTAACGCTAACATTGGCCTTCCGAAGTCTCCCGTTGATTGGTCTTGGCAGGCTAAAGTTTGCTGTGGACTTTTCCTTAGACGAGAAGCAAAGTAGGGACTGCGGGGCTACAGAACTCTACCAAACGGTATGCTGCAAGTTTTATAAACAATTCCAAAAATTATATATAGCTTCTATGGTCTTTTGTTCATTGTATGGCTTTAATCACTTCTAAATATCACCTTAAGATAAATTCATACTATGTACACTTGGAGCCATGGTCATATTAAATTACCTGAAAATGATCCTTGAATTTTCCATGCGAATATTTACTAGCTGATCTTTAAATCTCAATTTTAATCTTGTTTCATACAATTCCTTTTCAGAAACCTTCCATATTGAATTTGCTTGTACTTTTTTTACAAGTTGTTCAATTATCACACATTTTCAGCTATTTCTCAAAAGAATCCAGAACATATAACTGATTTTTTTTTCATGATTTCAGTGTTGTCACGTGGTAGAAAGGTTGGAAAGTTTGAACATCCTCAAAGAAGAATACTACCTATTAAAAGCTCTTGTCTTAACAAACTCGGATGTGAAGATTGACGAGTATCAGGCGTTGAAAAAATTTAGAGGTTCGATTTTGTCTGCCCTGTCTGATGCCATCGGAATTTTGAGGTAGGAATATAATGTCTACCAATTTTAGAGATCATCAATACAGGATTTTTGCTGATACCGATCATCGACCGCCACCGATATTTCAAATGCCGTTTTCAAAAATGAGTTTGAATGAACCAGTTGCATTTGAACATCCGTATATTCACTACGGCGCGATACAGCGCTGCTTATTGACCATAGTTATTCGCGACTTGGGACAATATCAATTCTTGGCAATTAGATGTTTTTATAACAATTTTCGGCTTGTGTTTCATTGGACTTGAAACCAAACAAAGCGAATAGTTGGAAAAAACAATATAATCCATAAGATTGTATCATTCGAAGACTTGGAAATGATACAATTGTCTTCAAGCCCCGTCGGTGGAGTTGGATTTCAAAGTTTAAACAGATGAAATACGTTTCAAAATACAGTTTTTGGAGTAATTGCCGACCTTTTGGTTGAAATGAGAAGTCAGAAACTGCATAGTGTGCTCAAAATTTCACAGACCGTATCAACATAATTATATTCAAATCCACCCAAAATGTAAGTACAGTCAATTTGAAGTAGTTTATAAGAAATCAAATGAAAACCTACTATTTAGCAAAATATTTCAGAAATGTCATATTTGCACTCATTTGTAGTCTCATTTCTTTCTACAACCAAAAACTAGGTTCTAAATCGTTTTTTTATAAAAAATGGCTGTTCGGTAGTTATTTTACATATCTGCCACATCGCATGTGATCGATTCGACGATCCTCATCACCCACTTTGCACCTAGCCAATAAGAAACTTTACCATCATCAGTGAGATGTAACCAAATCATACCTGAGTCTGGGCTTAGAAAGTGCTTTAGTACGACATCACTTCTTTTGAATGTTTATGATTATCGATCGTCCTTGGCTATCGAGGCTGTGTGGCCAAGCTGCCATAAGATATTTATAAAACGCTACATTTATACTTTCACGGTTTTCTGTGGTTACTCGAAAAAGTCATACGAAATAGATTGTGTTAAGGCCAGGCTATCTACTTATGGATAACTCGCGACCATGTCAAATAGACCGACGATTGATCAAATAAGCGATTTGAGGTAAGAAAACTTTTGAATTTCAAGCTGGCATTCTTCTACTACTAAACTAAGTCACTAGGTATTCCGCGTAGAGCAATAAAAGTTAAATAGCTATGTGATAACTTAGGTTTTGAGAAGAGCTTCTCTCGCGAAATGTCTCATTTATTTGTTTGTTTATTTAAGATTTATTTAGCATTACATTCTTCTAAAAAACTAAACATTTACATAACATACAGATATTTAGAATAAAAAAACAAAATTTGCGTCTCTAAGAATTTTCACTGTCCATGAAATATTCCTGTAATTTTCTTTTAAATATCTTTAAATTACAAGTAGACTTTATATCATTATTTAATTTATTAAATTCAAGTAACCTTTTTGAAATATTTATTTGCTAGTTATATTACTTTTGCAATTTTGTAAATGAAAATCTATATTTTCTCTTGTATAATAATTGTGGTAATTATTATTCAATTCTATGTAATATTCTAAATGTTGTGGCAAAAGATGATTTATTATTTTAAATATGATATGAATTTTTTTATATTCAACATTGAATGACAAATATATTTCGTATGTTACCAATTGATGATAAATATCACCCCCATGAATAAATGTCCAAACAAAAGTAAATTTGAACACAAAATGCGTTCACTGCAAGTGATGGATAATGAATTCATGCGATTTATATTGCAACATTCATTTATTTCCGACTAACTTTTGTAAACGCTATGTTTTTGGAGTCGTCTATCATCTCTCTCTAATTTGATTCGCCTTATCCAACTGCCTTCCTTTATATAACTACCCTTTGCATAAGCAACGTGCTTGGCCATTTACCATTGAGGTCGTCCGGTTTCAATGTGTACGAGAGAGAGAGAGAGAGAGAGAGAGAAAAGTGTGCAACACGTAAGTTAGAAAGAGTTGACAATACAAGTGTAATTAATCACCACGTTGCCTGGCTATAACAGAGACAAGGTCGCGGACACGAATGTTAGGATGATTGCGCGAACGAAGCCAACTAAGCACCAATTACAGAGAGTCTGTCGACGCTTCATTCGCGCGCTCACTCCAAAAATACGTATTTCTCTCTCTAACTTGCTCGTACATTAAATGTGACGCGCAATGATTCTCTGTCAAACCTGTATTTTGCCATATGTTAGGTGATCGGAACGGATTCCAATAGGTTAGGAGGAGCCAAGTCTATATACCCTATTTCACGAGTATCCATCACGCTTTGACGTCTACTGAGGTGAACAGCTGATCAGCAAGTGGCATTTTTGTGTTAGTCTGCGACGTTGGCAATAATGAGTTGGGTTTAAATCTAGTAAAACTTGTTTATAGCGTTTTGTTTTTTGTATGCAAATGAACTTTTTTAAATACAAGAGCTGTTGGCAAGTCCAAATGAATCTGTAGCTTACAAAAAAAACCAAAAAAAAATATGGCTCTGTCTACCTGGCATTGACGGATCCGTCAGAATTGTGTCCTTTGCCGATATGGGGAATTTTGAAATATTACTAGATAACCAGCTGTCATTCTGTGATGGATACACGTGAAATAAGGTATATGTTTACATTGCAGTTTGTAGCCAAAATCGTGTCATTTTAGTGCATACTTTTGTTCATTTGCCTACCGAAGTGACCTGCTTCTAAAGCAGCGTACTTTTTTTCTCTAGAGAAGTACTGAAGTAGCGAATCGTACTATGTGTACTCACGTTTGGCAGGGCAGAAATACTATACTAAGTGACATATAAATCCGAACACCCAGTTTAAATGGTTTTATTTTAATAAAATTTTGTATAAGTACTTAATGAAGCATAATAAGTAAATGATAAAAATTTGACCTTTAATAATGTGTGGATGCACCCTGATGTGCTACGCATTCTCCAACGCGTCTATGCATGCTTCTGATCAGGTGGTCAATGTCCTCCTGTGGTATCTCATTCCAGGCAACCACCAACTCCTCTCGAAGTGCTTCTAGAGTCTGAGGAGGACGTTGCAAATTGAGCAATCTCCTACCCATCTTATCCCACACGTGCTCATTTGGGGATAAGTCGGGAGATCTTGGTGGCCATGGTAACAATGTGACATCATTATGTTGAAAGAAGTCTACATGTGGTCGGGCATTATCTTGTTGGAAAGTTGGATCTGCCAGGGTGTCAAGATAGGGTAAAAGATGGAGTTCTAGAACTTCGTGGATATAACGCTGCGCGTTCATGTTACCTCTGATGAAGATTAAAGGTGACCTGGAACCATAAGCTATAGCACCCCAAACCATAACTCCAACAGTGTGATGAACATGTCTTTCAACAAAAAACTGTGGATTCCTCCTTTCACCACGTCGCCTTCTAACCCTGGCACGACCATCGTGCATGCCTAAACAAAATCGAGACTCGTCACTAAAGACAATACTGTTACATTCCTGATCCCAGAGTGACCGTTGTCTGCACCACTCAAGGCGATTACGTCGGTGTTCTCGAGTTGGAGGACCCAGTGTGGCCGGTATGAAAACAAGCCAAAACTTCTCATTCGTCGGTAAACACTTCGCATGCCAATAGGTCTTCCGTGTTCTGCAAACCATTCATTTGCAATGGACCTGGTAGTGGAGAAACGGTCCCTTAAGGCCAATAATCCTAGGCGGCGATCTTCACGGTCTGTTGTTCTACGGCGGCATCCAGTGCCCCTTGCTCTTTGCGTACGGCCTTCTCGAAGCCATGCCTGACAACACCTAACCACAGTGTCTACACTTCTTTGCACTCTAACTGCAATTGCCCGAAAAGAAAGTCCAGCTTCCCGAAGTCCCACTATACGGCCCCTATCAAACTCACTAAGTTGACGAAATCGTACAGGTCTCCGTACTCTAGGCATCGTAACCGATCGTAAAGGATGTCAAGAACCAAAATCCGCCAACGTTGATTCTTTACTGCGGCTGAAATATTCATTTTTAGAGCGTTAGTGAATTAAAAAAAAAGCAGTATAAAAACCGGAATGTCCAACTGATAAGGCTGAAAATTTTTTCACTTGTTATTTACAGTAAGATAAATACACTCACCAACTTTTATTAAAATAAAACCATTTAAACTGGGTGTTCGGATTTATATGTCACTTAGTATAGTTGTATTGCGATGTGAATCGCAGTTATTGTTAATAAACCTGGATGAAAAAAAAACTTAAGTAAATATGGTATATATTGACGCTATAGCACATAAATAATGCTTAATTCGATTTTGGAAAGAGAAAAATACCAAAAATTGTCTTCATTAAACAGCTGCAAAGGCAGAATACCTTATACTGGAAATAGTGGAAAACCTTGCTTGAATTCTACTCGGTTTTTTCTAAATAGTTCTGTAATTCAGGAAGATTCTTAGCAAAAAGCACATACGTAGTTGAGCATAATATGACAATTACTATATCATTGTCATTACACCCAATAAAACAATTTGAAAATGTTTCAATTAATTTTGTTCGTGGTTTTTTTTATGCCTACTGAGCTTCCTCACTAGAATCTCATGGCAATAGAATGAAAACATAAAATTATTATTTATAACGTGCAAGTACAGACCTTTTAGAAGAACTAAGAGATTTAAAAATAAAGTAGATAAGACTCGAAAGTTAGCGTTTCAGTAGAACCTTTTCAGTATCCATTGAAACATTTTGGCTGGCTCCAGTCCTTTTCATTTTTCAATGTTGTTAGGTTAACAAACCTAAGATTCGGACTGAGCACTCGAAAAAACAAGAAGTGGATTGAAATAAATCAAAATTTCCTGACAACTGTCTAAGGGTATAAGTTGAAGCGTCTGAACTCGATTGCTAGTGATTCATTTTGAATGTATCCTTGAACTGACCTTCAAATACCCTCAGCTTCATTACTGACCTCTGATTCGCACTCGGCGACCAGAAGAACCAAAATGCTCGGCTTCTTCGGGAAGTGTCCTTGAAATGTCTCTAGAGACAAACTAATCCCGGATTTTAAATCAGCGATTCAAAAAGATCCTGCTGTACCGAATCCCTTCTAATATTATGAATGAGAAAGTGTGGATGGTTACTACTCAATCATGTCAAAATTGCTAAACGGTTTAATGGAATTTCATATGAGGTGTATGACGCCGAAGCGCTCAGTTGCTGGTCCGACCTAAATGCGTAAGGGTATATAAATAGAGCATTTGCATCGTGATCGTCTTGATTTAGATTTATTTGGTGTTTTGTTTTACGTAAACTATATCTATTGTTTCTTTACGATCTTTGTCTATAATTTTTAAAGCACGGGTAACAAGTTTATGGGCTTAAGATGTTTAAGTTCAGAAGGAATTATTATAATAATTAAGGCCAGTTTCCACTGTTTAGGGTGGTATCCTTTTTCTAAACAAACATTTATTATGTAAGTAATATGAAAGATGATCATTTCAAGGATATCGACAAATTAGTTTTGTTATCCTGAAACTTTCCTCAGAATTTTTTTATCGAAAAATACGTGGTTGGCAAGTTTTCGGAATGTTCGGATATTTCATAGAGATCCTGTAAATATAGGCAAATTCGACTATGAGTTCGCGGATAAAACAGTGTCTATAACTAAACTAGTAAGTGCACAATTTTTTATGTCTCTTCGTATTGTGGTTCAGACATGATACTGACAGAGAGAAGAGATATTCACATATTGTTGCATTAAAATGTTGAATAAAAATATCTATAACCAAAGTAAATATTCCATAACTTTGAATGCTACATTTCTTTCTCCGAAACTAGTCTGCTTCAAACTAATGCAAGACGTATTTACCTCTACTGTACACTACTTCTACACAAGCGGTGCCACGGGTGTAGGCTAGTAAGTATCGTCGAGCTACTGGCTTTCGAGATGTTCATGCGATTCCGGCGGAAATTGATAAAATAAGATGACTTAGAACACTTTTTTAGATTCGCAGTATAGTTTCATGTTGCATGAAGCAAGTTTCTGAATCTCGAGTTTTCAGAGTATCTCCGATTTACGAAAAACATTTTTTTTCCAGGCCAACAGGCGTATTGAACCAAGTCCAACAACTCTTACTTTGCCTACCCGCATTGCGACAAGCAAACTACGTAGTTCGACGTTTCTGGTCAGATGTCCACCAACAGGACTTGGTGCCAATGAACAAACTGTTCCTGGAGATGCTCGAAGCATATTCGCGGTGATAAGATGTTATTTTGTTATCAGAAGGTGATAAAACGTCGGTGCAAGATGTGCATTGCGCATGTGCGGGTCTCCTTCCTACAGGAAAATTTGTGCTCGATCGCCCGTTTGTGTTATTAGTTGCGTCATTGAAGGTTTTCTTAGGAAGTCAATGAGAACAATTCCGATTTTGATTTTTTAAATTTCCGTTTTTAACTATTTGAAATCAGAAACCTTCCAGAAGGTTTTCGGCTTTGATGGATGGCCGAGACCAGAAATCCGTTCATTTCGGCTAGTCGGAGTCCAAATCACCGAGGACTTGATTTGGCATGAACAATCGTGACAGCTGCTGGGGAAAAGCTAGCTTATTTGTTTAATTTTCAAATTATTCAATATATTCATTGTTGTAAAAATGTTCAGAATTTCCAATTTTGGAATATGTGGCTGAGATAAATGTAGATTTTAATCTCAAGACTGTCGAGAAGCTTTGCGACGACTTTTTCTCGTCTTCCATTATTGAAATTATTCGATGAACTTATATCTCTTTTGCTCCGAATGCGTTCTCCCTCTCTCGTGTGCGCAATCCCAGCAAATCCTCATATCTCTTCCTACAAAAGTCATTTGAGAAAAACAAATATTCAGTAGGGTCCTTTAGGGGGCTGAATCCCCGTAGGGGAGCCCCCTGATATATTGACATATTATTTTGGAATATCCTGTACACGTTGCACAAATATTGTTAAAACATGTTTCCCCTCTGGAAGGTTTCTAATCTTGAGCAACATAGAAATTAAAAAAAAAAGAATCATAAAATCGTACCAGTTCTCGTTGCTTTTTTTTGTCTTTGACACGACTAATATGGCGCCGAATGATTTGGTTTGGTTGTTTTTGCGTGGAATGGTTCGTATACGATACGATATATTCTTTTATAGTTTAGCTCCTTCTCGGTAGTTGTGAAGATCTTTGCACCTCCTCACATGGATCCTTTTATTTGCAAAACTCGATCAATAAAAGTCCAAAAACAGTTATTTGAGTTCATATGCGCATGATATTAACTGTTTTAAATGTATAGTTCACATCAAACTTAAGGTGACTGTTTACATCTTTTTTTCTTTGCTTCTGCAGTCAATAACAGGTGCAATGAAGGGTGATCCAACTGCAGCACTTAAAACCATGGTGGACCTCCCACTGAATATGTAATAATGCGGGAGGTGAGAATGAGCTTCTCTAGGATACAGCTACAGCCAATGGGAAGATATGAGGAGTTTGGACATAATCAAATAAGGAAATGTATTGTCGGACAGTGGTAGTTCTACTCGGTGATTTCAATGCCCATAATGAGCTTTGGTTGGGCTCAAACAAGACCGATGCAGCAGGTCGTGCAGTCGAAGCGTTCGCTCTTACTCATGGGCTGACCCAGCTGGTGACGAGCCCTACTTTTTCCCCCGCGTCTCGTCACACGCCAGTAGCCTGCTAAATCTCTTGCTGACCACGCATCCTGTCCCTTACAGCACGGATGTCCTGTCCCCCCTGGGTAACTCATACCACGGTGTTGTGGAGGTTAGGTTTCGGTCAGAACCCGCTGTGGCAGCAGAAACTCGTACAGGCCGCAAAACTTGGCATTACGGACATGCCGACTGGGAGGGGCTCAGAGACTTCTTCTATAGCTTTCCTTGGAAAGATGTCTGTTTCACAGACGCGGATGCGTCGGCTGTCTGTTCTTCGATAACCGAAATTATCCACGTCGGAGTGGAGGAATACATCCCTCACACAGTGAAAGTGCCTAGACCAGGGTCCAACGGCTGGTTTAACAAATCGTGTGACGCTGCTCGCCAGCAGAAGATCAAGGCACACAGAAACTTCTTACAAAACCCCACTGTAGAGAACAGACAAGCCGACGTTGAGTCCAGAAACAAATATAAAGAAGCAGTGCGCAATGCCAAAAACCAGCACGATATAACAGTTAGGCCCAGGGTAATGTCGCAGCGCAATGGCAGTCGGTCTTTCTGGACGCTGGCCAGACAGATTGAAAAGAACTTCTCACACAGTAGCCTTCCACTACTTACGTGTCAGGATGGAACTATTGTATTCAAGTAAAAACCAAGGCGGAAGTGCTAGCCAAGATCTTTGCTGCCAACTCCACCATGGACGTTCCCCCCAACGCCCAAGTGCCATCAATTCAAAGGGTTCCCTACACTATGCGGGAGGTAACATTCAGGCATAAGACCGTAAGACGAGTGCTCTTGTCGCTCGACATCAACAAAGCTTCTGGTCCGGACTTGATTCCTGCCATTGTACTGAAGAGGTGTGCAGCGGAGCTTGCTCCAGTTCTTTCGCGTCTCTTCCAGATATCTTATGAATCCGGCACCTTCCCAGAAAACTGGAAATTTGCTCATGTCCAACCCATCCCAAAAAAGGGATCTAAGACCGACCCTTACAACTACAGGCCTATAGCTCTGCTTTCTGTTTTAAGTAAGGTGATGGAGAGGTGCATAAATCGCGAGCTTCTGGACTATCTCGAACGTCACAGCTTGATTAGCGACAGGCAGTATGGTTTCCGGCACCAACGAACCACAGGGGACCTCAATCGTCACTCAATTCTGGAATAAACTCATCCAGTCTTATGGTGAGTCTCATGTCGTTGCTCTTGACATCACGAAAGCGTTCGATCAGCTGTGGCACGCTACCCTCTTAAGCAAACTTCCATCTTATGGCCTCCCAGAAAAGCTTTGCAGATGGGTGGCTGACTTTATCTCTGGCCACAAGATATCCGTCGTAATTGATGGGTTCTTCATCCCATAACGTCAACGCGGGTGTTCCCCAGGGATCGGTCTTGGCTCCGACACTGTTTCTCTTACATATTAACGACCTCCTTTACTGCACGATCCCTAGCAATGACTTCTTCTCTGACAAGAGACCTGGAGGCTATCACTGCTTGGGGACGCAACAATCTTGTACAGTTCAATGCTTCCAAAACACAGTACTGTACTTTGACGAACAAAAAACGTCTCTGCGCTCGCTCGGTTTCGATGGATGGCCGAGTTCTGCCAAAGAGCCATTCATTTCGGCTGGTCGGAGTCCAGATCACCGAGGACCTGATCTGGCACGAAAACATCTCGTCAATAGCTGTAGCCGCTGGGAAAAAGCTAGGCTATTTATTTAGGGCTAAAAAGTACTTTTCTCCGCATGACCTTCTCACTCTGTACAAGGCTCAAATAAGGCCTGGCCTCGAGCATTGCTCAGACGTTTGGGGTGCTGACGCCCCGACTACATTATCCATGCTCGATGCTGTCCAGAGCAGGGCGGTCCGACTGGTCGATGACTCTCCTCTAACAGTCTCGGGACTCTTTCGCACCGGCGGGCTGTCGGCGATCTAGCTCTTTTCTACCGTTACACCAACGGGCTTTGCTCCTCAGACCTCTCTTCCATGATGCCACCGCGCGATGTGCCTGCCAGACAGACCCGTCTGACTTTGGCGTCCCATCCTAACCGTGTCGGAACTTCGTACATCCAGAACTGGCCGATACGACCGCTCTTTTGTCCCGAGGGTGTCGAGATTGTGGAACAATCTACAAGAGGAAGCTTTTCTCAGTTCTATTAACCTTAGGCAGTTCAAAAATCGTACTAACAAAATTTCTTTGGGATGATCATAGCAGCCGCGTTGTTCCGGCATTTAGGCTTCTGCTTGCGCAGCTGCTTCTATATAAAAAAAAGAAATAAAAAACGTCGATGCGATGAAAGATCACATAGATCCCAGACTTGTATTTAAAAAGAACTTCGAGGCCAAAATGTAAATTCTAACGAAATACTAAAGGCACAATCTGCAGGCGGAAACTACATGGTACACTGATGGGTTCAAAAACTGAACAGGGTTCAGGTGCATGCCATTTTGAGTCGGACTGACCCATCAACAAAGGGCTGGTTGGTCACAAGTCTAAATGGTGACGTCACGCCATTTGCTTTCCGTTTCGAATTTTAAATTTAACGTGTATTTCCCCATTGTTTATAATCTAATACTGATAATTTTGTAGCGCTCAAGTATAAAATGAGATGTAAGGTGTCATCCTCTAGCAATATAGACTATAAGTAATTGACCGATATTTGATCACATGCACATTCCCTATTATAATGGAAGCTATTACAGATCCAGAAATATGTTGAAAGTGCTGAAGTTCCCTGGGTCGATGCCAATATCTACATTGAAAACAGTTAATATCACATGGTCATAAATAATTATTTCGCATTTTTTTATTGATATAGTAAATTTGCAACCGTACCATTATGAGGAAGTACCAAGATGATCCACTTGATACTATATGTAATACAAGTCGTAAACAGATCGGGAAATTCGATATTTTGGCTCTTTCGTGCCGATTCCAAGTACCAACACTAAAGACTTAATAGGCATTAAGGTATTACCATTGTGAAGGGTCTCCCCAACTGCCCCCGAATAAACACACAACACACCTAAAACCATCCAAAATCTGACTGTAAGTGTACCGACAGACACTGGATTTATCAGCTTTTTTGTCATATATTCCATAAACTCGGTACAGGTTTACGCTTCAACTACATTTTTTAATGGTGTGCCATTACAAAAATAAATGTTATGACAGATTTATCAACTTCCGAGCCAAATGTTTCAAAAAAGGGGTCGGCGGTTCTTCAAATATTGAAATGTGTGTCTTATGCCCCTCATGCTTCATATCAGTTTTATAAATATTTTTTCCCGCGAAAAGTGTGATTTATAACTTTATGGGAAGAAAAGTTATTCGTAAAACATTTAAGTGATCCTCCAGCTTTTAGGACCCTACGTGGGAGATTACGCAATTTTTCCTAACCCAACTATCCTGCTAACTCCACCACAAAGTCACTTGGCTATTAGCTCCCTCAAGTGTGTTTTTTCAATTTCTCTCACAATATCGTAACGTGTATGGGCTATTTTAGGAAATATCTAGATATTTTTTTCAACCGAAATTTCCCATACGCACGAATCCAAGATCCTCAACACACACATGTTTCCCCTTGAAACATTTTCGACTACGCCTGAAACAATTAGAAACACCAAAAACGTTGAAGAAAATAATACAACAACACTTCAATCCAAAACTTCACCCGTAAAACAAAAATATTACTCGGGAAACAATATCTAGACATTTTCTAAGTGCTTTGATTGATTTTCCTTCAGAATAAAATAACGTTAAGGCTGTGACAAACTTGCAGGACAAGTAACTGTAATTTTATTTAAGTATATTGTATATTTTTTAAATGTAGAAGGTCGTGTGAAGATTTCATCCCCAGATTATTCTTTTTTTCGATTTATATACACAAAAATTATAATAACTATAATAGAGAAAATATTATTTTTTGAACAGATATTTTATATTGCAGTACGAATATTTTTGAAACAGATAATAGCTAGATCTCACATGTCAACTGATATACAGGATGTTTAAGAACACCATTGCTTCGGATACTGGAAAATAGTTGAAAAAACGATGTTCGCATTCAAGGGACGACTTCCTTAAAGCACTTAATATCAGTGTCCATTCGATGTAAACGCCCGCTACATAAAGCAGTAAAGTGCTGTAAATTTCTGCATGCGCCCAATGTAACCTAGGAAAGGAATGTCACTGATTTCATAAAAAGCCAGCGAACTCAAAAATCTAACAGCTCAAAAACTAAGCAAATTTTTGTAGTATGTATGCTACATTCAGTTTATATTACCTATTTTTTGAGCTCAATATGGACCCTGTGTATTACTACAGTTGACAATATTATTGGAAGGAGGGGTATTGATGACTAATCTTGTGATAACTACATGGTATGCTCTAAAATGGAACTTGATTGGCAGAGGGAAATTACACTGTCCTAATGATTGAGTACATTTATAAAAACCGTACTACCTGATAAAAAAAGCTAAAAAAGTGTGCTCAAACTACAAGCAATAAAAATTCTGCACAAGTTGTGTTTTGGAATACATGTATAATGAAAAAGTGGAGGAAAATGAAAACTATCTTTTGTAACTTGTAAACAAACACAAATTTTCTTGTAGATAAATATTTTGGATTGGTCCGACATAAAGAGAATATTATGTATATCAAAAGAAATCCAGTGATAGATAGTAGATATTCCTTTAGATTAGTTTTTAGTTGTGTACATAGCAAAGAAGGTATATTGATATTTTTAGTAGAGGTATATGATATTCTTGATGCTTTTTTAGAGATGCATAGTATTATGCAGCTATGATCTTTTGGTTGTTTCACGTCATATTTTTAGAAAGAACCACGCAGATCTCTTATAGATAATCAATCTTTCTTTTAAAAGAATACATGAAAATACTGTTATATTGAGCAAAAATCAAAGATATGTTCGTTATCCAAAATAGCATGGTTCTCCTCAAAACTGTTGTGTTTTAAATATTATTTCTTTCTCAATAATTAAAAACAAAAATGATCTACTCTATCCCGTGTTGTGCACTAAGAGGTAATTTTGATTGTAATGTTTTCATCAACAAAAAATCACAAGAATTAAAAATGTTGCTAGTCCTTGGAGAATAGTTCTAAATAAATTCTCACTATAAATGTTGGAAATATATTGAGAGAAATTCGAAATAAAAGATATGTGTGGTTTAACCATCTTTCTGTGTATTGAATGATAATGGGTTGTTTGATATCTCGTACATGTAAAGGCGTTTTTGTTAACTTTTTTTGCAAGGAAAAATTAGAACGCCTATCTCGCAGATTTTTGTTCTGTACCATTAATATCTAGTTATGTGAGAATTTTTTAATGTTATATTTTATGCCAGTATATTGATCAGCACAAATTCAGATGTACTTATCAGCTACTCAGAACCATATTTTGTTACACCATTACAAATCTGATGAATAATAACGTTTTATAAAATTTTCTGTCGTTTTATTTTTTGGGCACTATAAGTCAAAGGAAGTGTGTACAATTATGGAATTTTCAAGGTAACGGTACTACATTATTTCCCGCCAATTTTGCATTAGGAACCTTTTCATACCATCTCGCATTTCTGCGATCATAATAACAAATTTTAACTTGCTCATTTAAATCATTTTAAATCTTTCTACTACATTTTGTCACTTTCTCAGAATTTTGTGTTAGAATAACAGAGAAATGGGGGAGGGTAATCATACCCTGTAATAATGTCCGCCACCTTTTATCAGGAGTCTATCTTGCGTTTTTGCGATCCTAATAAATGTGAATACTGAAGTATATGTTTCAAGGTTTCAGAAATCGTTATTAGAATAAAAGGAAAATAGAAGTGCCATCTTTATTCGCTGGAAGTACTTGAATCATCGTCCGAATGGTTAATATTAATTATTACAGGTTCAAGTTTTTCACGTCAGAAAATTTGAATGTTCTATTTTTTGAAGCCACGTAGTTTTTTATATTTGCCCAAATCATTTCAATGGGATTTAATTCGCAGTGATAAGGGGATAGCCTAAAAACGGACTTATTTTGGTTTTTAGCCATTTCGTCAATAACATTAAGATTGTATATTTGTGCTGCCTGACTAGATGGATAACTTCTGCTTTGGCCATATTTTCATTGAAACTAATGTCTTTTGATAGGAGCCATTGTTGAATTTCTGCCTTTCTTATGGTCATTGTGGGAATTTTTTCTAGTTTTATAGTGTATGCAACATTATCAAGTACAATGACAGCATTGTCGTCAAGCTTTGGGAGCATTTCTTCAAACCATCATTCAAAGGAACTCTCGTCCATTTCTTCATGGTAGTCGGTCGTTTTCCTTTTCCTGGAAATAATTATTTCATATGATATTCAAGAAATACTAATAATAATACAAGCAGAATATCTAACAGGTGTTGGTTCCAAATCTACCAGATATTGCCAAGTTATTTAGGCCAGTGGTTAATCCATCTAAGAAGGCTTGTCTTGCTGATTTAATTGTAGAGTCAGCCCATACTTTAGGTTTTATATCTCCTGCATTTATCAAGGTTTCAATCCAAGTAATAAATCTTCCTGCCCTGGTCGCGGTATTTTTTTAATGATTTTAAATAATTTCTTCTTCATAAAATAATCTCTCGACTGTCCATGAAAATACTATTTCTGCCCCGTTTTCTATGCTCAAAATAAAGTTATTTGAGTAAACTATAGAATGTGGTCCTTTTGAAAGTACGTCTTCATCACTATCAGCCTCGTGTAAAACTTTGTCTATGATGAGAAGTTCCTGCCTTTCAAAAAATTGATGGTCTTTGCGTCTGATGGCATTCCGATCAAAGTTATCAACTGTATTCAAAAGCTTTGTGAACTGCAGCCTCTTGTGTGGTGGAGACACTTTTTTGTTTTTTTTTTATATTCTTTAACAATGTTGAAAATTGTCTTATGACATAAGCCTGTTTTGTACGCCACGTCTTTCAATATCATGAATTTTCATTTCAGGATGCTCTAGAATTTACATCTTATAAACGTTAAGGGCCATTTCTTTTGCCTGAATATTCAAATGTCCCTTCTCGTCATGTTTTTGGGGAGGATTCATCACTGAAGAGGAAGCATTGTGAGAAATTTCTGTTTCATTTGCTGTATCCGTGGACGACATGCTAACGTATAAACACGCTATGTATGCACCGAATATGAACAGCAACTGCCGGCGATACCCCGAGTCTGAGTTCTATCCTTTCGAATCCTGCTCTTGTTTGTAGTTTTATGGCCAAATGACCAATAACTATTGCAACGCTAAGGCGGCTACCGCTTTGCCGCTCTGCATCATGTTGTGCCGGGGCGTAAATGGACTAGGAATAGAGTTATAGTTCTTACTAGATCAGGCGGCGCCGCTCGCGTTAAAGTAGTGTACAGCATCTGTCATTCGTTTCTCATTAGTGAGGAGGAGATTGGTTTTGGGGAAAGAAATGAAATACTCAAAGTAATGTAATAGTTACTTTGGTAATGAACATTTTTTATCAAACACTTTAAGGCAACAATAAATTAATTGCAGTGTTTTTATCTAAACGTAATACGACCTTGAAGGTCATGGTTAGGTTCATTGGTACTTGAACGTAAATTTGCATTTCAGGAATTGAAAATAGATGTTTCCCGTTGAAAAATCATTTGACCTTCAAATTATTTTGATGATCATACTTGAACAAAGTTTCTTGCTCTTTCTATTTCCGCTGTCAAACATTCCATTAAAAAAAAACTGTCTTGACCTTCAAATAATGTTGGTTATAGTCGTGTTCAAGGTCAACTTTATCAAGGTACGTTTACATCTGACACTTATTGTATGATATTATATTATATAAGTGGCATTAACTGTTTGCCGTTGCTGTTTGCATTATTAGAAATTTATATCATATACTTGTGTACGACATCGCATATATTCCAAAAACTTGCTGTTGTGAACTCGTTTTGTAGCTGTACGTGTTGCTTAAACGTCAGCGAACAGTGATCATAGCAAGCAAACGTGGAATGAACTATTTGCACACTAAAAACTACCTAGTCTGCAAGATGACATTTCGTCGTTTTTTGACGTTTTTTACATAATAGCCGTGTCGAGGTCTCATTTAAGAATGTGTTGACCTTCAAATAACCTTGAAGGTCAGTCAAGGTCACCAATGGATACATCTTTTCAAACATTACAACTTTGTTTGAAAACATTTTTCTCTAGGAAACGTAATTTTCGAGATATTTTGATTCATACATGTTTTTTGTACATTTTGTTTAAGGTGGATAAAATCATACCTATTATCTTCCTCGGGTGTATACATTTTTACGATTTTCCATATTTTAATACACACGTGATGCTGATAGACTGGACATTTACATTTCGGATTCTCTAATTTCAATTAGCATCATTACATTCTCGCAATGACAAATGTGCTAGATAATCTTATATTTAGTTATACTAACTTGTCTTTTTATTGAAAAGTAAAGGCTTTGATTAACAAATAAATATACATTTTATTTATGTATTCGCTTACAAGTAAACAAAAATATGTACACCAATAATATACAGTATATATGAGAAATGATTGAAAAACATCCACTTGAAGTAGAAAAAATAAACTCTTTACACTTACAATATCCTAAGCTAACAAACTATTCATTCTTGACATGTACCATTTCAAAATAATCAATTTACAAAAATGATTCCAATATACATGTGAACACCTAGAAATAAGAAATGACACTGAATATAAAAATAAAGGCGGAGCCACATATTGTTATGTCATGTAAACTCATGTGTTATCACCACTGATTAACATATTCAACCAGAAGATACCCAATTCAATTGAAAGCCTTGCGAAAATAAGCATAGGTGACAATACAATTAATAATGATTAAAAATTGAAGTAGTCGAATCACTGAAACATCTGGATATATATACAGGGTTATCCAAATTAAGTGTCCACCATTGGTAACTTTGTTATTAGTAAAAATACAAAGTTGTTTAAATTAGCAAACTAGTAGCATTTTTAACGCTGGTAAAAATGAGAAATAAAAAAAACAATTGAGAGTCGTTATTTTGATTTTTTTCAGTAAGATAACATTTTTTTAAATGGAAACCCCTGTATATTATATTTTTTTCTGTTAGAGCATCAAATTTTAAACAAAAAAGTTCATAATGACTTTTCCGCTAAAGTCAAAAATAAAGTCAAAATAACGATAAATATTTTTAATTATTTGCAGTATTATAATATTAAGACGGCTATGAAAACAACATGGCGTTCGCGATTTGACAGCATTAAGATAAGCGACAAATTGTTAAACTGGACATACTCGCAACTAGAAGGCTTTGGAAAACAATGATAAAATCAAATAATGTCAAACATTAGTGTAAATACTTGTTTATAAGCTTTATTGTGTCATTAATTTAAAGAAAAATGTTCTCCCATGAAGAAAAGTGTGATATGTTAGAATGCTATTTAGTGTGCAGAAAATCCTCCTTGAGAGCAAGAGAATACTACAGTGAATTATATCCCGCTCGCATTCAACCGTATGAACGATATTTTCTAAGACTTTATCGAAAATTTAGGGGCAACGAAAATGTTTTTGCTAAAACAAGGGCAAAAAAAGAATTCATAATAAGCGAGGCCACGGAAATTGCAGTTATTGGATATTTTGAAGCTTATCGTGAGAATTCAATAGCAGATATTCTCAAGGACTCTAATTTCAGTTATGGTACTGTTACAAGGATTTTAAAAAAATACAAATTTATTCCGTATAAGTACCGACCAGTTCAAACGCTTTTGGCAGGGGATCCAGAGAGAAGACTTGTTTTTTGCCATTGGTATCTTAGCTTCTGTCGCCAAAATGTAAATAACTTTCGTTACCTTTTATGGACAGATGAATCAAATTTTTCAAATTCTGGAATGTTTAATAGAAAAAACCACCATTATTGGTCAAGAGAAAATCTTTTGTTAGTACATCCAAGAGGCCCACAAGTCCGTTTCAGTTTCAACGTTTGGTGCGGTATAATTGGTTCAAAAATTGTTGGCCCGTTCTTTTATGAGGGAACCCTAACTGGTGAAAGATATGTGGAATTTATGTCAGAAATTCTGACTAATTTCTTAGACGAATTGGATCTTATAAGTAGACATCATCTGCATTTTCAGCAAGATGGCGCACCTGCCCACAACTCCAGAGGTACTTATCATTTTCTAAGTACTACTTTTAATGATCAGTGGATAGGAACAAATGGCCCAATACAGTGGCCTCCCAGATCACCAGATCTAAACCCACTTGATTACTTCTTGTGGGGTTACTTAAAGAACCAAATTTACAAGCGAAGGTACGATAACCTTGACGCGTTAAAGACTGCAGTTAGGGAAAAGATAACCCAGATAGATGGTAGGACCATACTTAAGACAGTTCGAGCAGTTGAAAAACGTGCCCAAAAATGTATTGAAGAACAAGGTGGT